GGACCCTCGCCCAGTGGCCGGGGAGCAGCCGGGGATTGAACCGGCACTGCAGGGGCTGCAGGCAGCTTTGCAAACCAGCGCTCAACCGCTGCGCCACCGGGGAGGCCCTCATAATAGCTTTTTTAAAAGGATTTATTTTCATTCATTTATACATACAAGAACTGGGGTGTAGGTGCAGGGGTTTAGAGGACTCGTCAGAGACAGAGTGGGGAGAAGAACAGGCAGATCTACTGAAATACACTGCTGAGGGGAGCAGTGGGCGAGACAGGAGAGGTCTGCTGCTTCATGTGGGTTAGCTCCCTGGTGGGCGATTGAACTCATGCCACAGTGGCCGGTGATAGCTTGGTAGTGCTGAGACTTCAACTCCTTCGACACTAGGGAGGCCCTCATATTAGCTTTTAATTGTTTATTTTCTCAATCATTGGATATTAATTTTACAACCCTAATGGAGTTAAGGATACCTGATAATTTTTTATTTTAGGAAGTATTTTCAATCAGGGACTATCTAAAAATTACAAAGTTAATATAACAACATAGTGAATAGAAAATGCATGTACGTGTTGGATCTGCATAGATAAAAGTCTAGAAGGATTCATTCTAATGATAGTATTTAGTTACTTCCAGGGAGTAGAATTGGGGGTAGGTGTAGTGAAGAGTTTAGACTTTTAAAGTTTTCATAATTTTAATTGCTATAATATTTCACAATAAGCATGCAAGCGGAATACCAAACCCAACTTGGTCAGTAACTGTGTGTGACTTCTGGACAGTCATTTCACATCTTAGGACCTCAGTTTCCTTGTCAATAAGAATAAAATTTGGAACAGACAGTTCCTTCTGTTATAGGACAGGGAGAGGGGCAGCCCAAACCCCGCAAACCTGCCTATTCTAAATGGGTTCTGCCATCCGCCACATCAACACAAAACATATGAGACTTTAATGGGAAGGAACTTTAATAAAACTAGGAAACAATACAGGTAAGGCAAAGAATCTAGTTTCTAAATGAAGCACCCAAAGTTACCCATCCCCTCGTGGGTAAAAGTCCATCCATATGGGATTGGTCCAGAACAAGGCCCCAAAGCCTGCCACAAGTCTAAAGCATCTTCCAGTGGGGACCCACAGCAAAGGGTCAGAAACAACCAGACAAGCCTGGAAGGAAAAGAGCAAAATCAACATCAAGATAAAAGCTGCCACTGTCACCTCCCCACGGGTCTCACCCACATCTATGTCACCCAGTCCACAACCAAAAGACAAGCACAGTTTCTTCACGGTCTCTAGGCTCCATGAGCCTCCTCCAGGTCTCCTTCTGGCTCCATCCTGCTTCCTTCCTCAGTCTCCTCTGCAGCTTCTTCTCTCCCTGCTCAGCTCCACCCTCCCTTGGGTGGGGCAGGGAACCTGGAACCTCCCCCTTTCCTGGGGACCAACCTGTTACACTTCCAGCCTGATAGTCTATGGGTTTATAAACTGCCTCTCTGAGATTGAAGAAAAATTTTATTTTTATGGTTCTACTACCTAACATTTATTATTTAACAAAACTTGTTAACAAATAAGCAAAGGAATGAATGAGTTATAAGGAGGCAGGGTTACTGTGATATCTATTGGAAATCTGAGAGTTTACGTGCTGACTTTAAGATCATGTTGGTAAAAGCTAGTTTTCCTGCTTAGTGCCTGAATGTGCTGCAGAAAATCTGGATGCTGAAGAGGCAGAGAGAGCAATTCTCTGTCCCAATGCAGTGGAGGCAGCCAACCCACACTGCTGATGCAGAATTTAAAGAAAAGTATAAATGTGAGATTTGGGCAATGCAAGATAAACCTGAAAATTTAGACCTGCACAATGTGAGGGAGCTCTGCTAAGATCAGGAGTCTGTGTAGCATGGTACTAAATAAGCTGGCAGAGTGGTCCTTTGGGTAGTGTCTCACCAAAGCCAGAACATCAGCAGTCCAGGCTCAGGGTCATCGCCAGACTACAGTGAGCCATCGGTCATATGCGCCCACCATAACCCAGTAGGAAAATTTCCTCTGGCAACCCAACAGGTTCCAAGGACATCTACACACAATTTTCAGTCTACTCTGAAAATAGCTTTCAACGCATTTTGATGAGGAATATCTTTTCACTCATGCTGCACTTCTTACCCAGTATCCAGCTTCACATGCTCCCCAAGGAGCAGAAGCTGCAATAGTTAATCCTTTCTGCTGGTAACTTGAGCCCCTGCCTAGAGCATGAGTTCTTAATTTAGTAAAGGCAAAGTGATCTTTTGCCAGTTCTGTCCCTCCTACAGTACTCAGGCAGCACTTGTGCAAAGGAGTGACTTTTTGGGGCATGGGCCTCAATTTGCATGAACCCTAGGATTGTGCCACCCTCGTTAGACTGCTCAGATAGCTGAATTTGGGTGGGTGGGGGGAGGATTTTGTAGGCCTAGAAACAGGTATTTAATGGAGCAGTAATAGCAATGTGTTCAAAACCAGGTATCAAAAGCAGATCTAGGACAGGCACAGCATGATTCTAGAATAGAAAAACAATTATATAAAGAATATTACTGAGACAATTGGTGACATTTTGCATGTGGACTATGTTAGACATATTTTATTAAGAGACAGACATATAGTCCTGGGGTAAGAATTAGAATAACAGAGGCTCCTGCTCGCACACCCAGCCCCATATTTGTGGACATATATGTTAGAGACCTAGAAATGGAATTGGAGCAAAAAAGTTTAATTCTGGGCAGCCTCAACCCCTCCATGATCTAATCCATTCTCTTTGCTGAGTCCAGGTTTTTGACTTACTGGGCCGGACTTTACTTTTCAACCCCAAATTTTATTGAAAAAAAAAGTATTTTTTGAAAAGATTTATTTATGCAGACAAGAGTTGCGGTATAGGCCAGAGATGCAGGAGTATAAGAGGATTCACCAGAGACACATTGGTAAGCAGAACAGGCAGATCCACTGAAAGACACTGCTGAGGAATCAGTGGGCAAGACAGGAGAGGTCTGCTGCACCATGTGGGTCAGCTCCCCAGTCGGGGTCAAACTCCATTGGTTGCAGATTCCATCAAAGTGCAAAGTATTTGGGCCTCCCTGGTGGCGCAAGGGGTTAAGCACAGCACTATGAAGCTATCCTCAGCCTCTGCAGCACGAGTTCAATCCCCAGTCGGCCAGGGAGCTATTCACATGGCATAGCAGACCTCTCCTGTCTTGCCCGCTGTTCCCCTCAGCAGTGTTTCAGTCAGTCTGCCTGTTCTGTTCCCCACTCTGTCTCTGGTGAATCTTTTCACCCCCTGCACCTCGGTGCCTGTACCCCAGTTCTTGTATGCATAAATAAATCTTTTTAAAAAAATGCAAAGTAATTACTTTAGATTCTGGAGATGAGAATATTAATAACAAAGCTGTATCTATGCAAGCTCCATGACAGAACTCCTTTGTTCCAGGCTCTCATCCTGTTTCTCTTCCATCTGGCTGTTGATGTACTTGAAAAGAACATGAGTCCAATAGCCAGTGTTAGGTACAAGGTTCTTTATTAGATGAAGTTTGTTAATTGTATTGTTTAAATATTTTGTATCATTGCTGATTTTTTTAATACCTGTTTTACCAATTACTGAGCGTAAAATGTTACCTGTTTTATAACATTATGCTATTTCCAAGTTTCTTTTTTGATTCTTATTTGTACATACTTGTCTCTCCTTTTTCTTTGAACATTAATTTCCAAGGCTACTTTTAACAATTAGCTATTGTAAAACCAATAAACAAAATTAGCTACTTATAGCTATCAGCTCAAAATTTATTTTATATTTTATTTTTAAAGATTTATTTATTTATACAAGAATCGGGGTACAGGCCAGATGCGCAGGAGGGTGAGAGGATTCACCAGAGACAGAGCAGGGAACAGAACAGGCAGACTGATGAAATACGCTGCTGAGAGTAGCAGCAGGCAAGGCAGGAGGGGTCTGCTTCACCATGTGGGATTCTCACCAGCTGACAGGGATCAAACCCTCACTGCAGAGGCTGTGGACAGCTTCACAGTGCGGTGCTCAAAATTTAAAACAAGCCTCAGACCATGGGGCTGCTAATTCTAAGTGGCCTGTTCAGCCACCATTTTTTGTTACCTGCAGTTCTGCATTCCTCTACAAGGTCAGAACTGCCCAGTCAATCAGTCATAGAAGCCAAACCTTACAATGTACCTTTCAAATCAACCAAGAAGCAGAAAGCTTCATCACTCTGGGAACGCTATGCATTTCAAGGTGTGACGAGGAACACCTGAGGAGCTGATGACTGATGCATAAAGTACTCTCCGCTTACACCTCAAGAGGTATGACCTGAATGAGGACCGATATATTTTAAGGCCATACAACTTTCCAGAAGCTGATCAGTGGAAAGCCTTGTTAAGATTGAAACCATGGGTGGGGATCTAGGGCTTAATCTCAATTACAATACCAAGTCAAGAGAGCAGATGAGAAGTGCCTGGAGGGCAGACTCACAACCCCTGCTACTACAGATGACAGAGCACATTTTCTAGTTTCACCCCTCCCTTTTCTTTTTGTCCTCCTGCCCCTCACAACTGATGCTGTACAATTATTCTATCAATAAAAAGGCCAGGATCTTGCTCTTCAGCAGCATCCTGCATCCTACAGCTTGCGCCACAACTCCCCTTTGTCAGTGTGGTGTTGTCAACGCAACATCAAACAACAACTATTTATTATTTCTCATAATTCTAAGGATTGACTTTGTGGGTTTCCCGAATTATTCATCTTTCTACTACTGATTTAAAAGGTCATCTTTTTCATAAACTACATTCTGCATATATTAACATTTGGAGATAGGCAGGTGAGCTGATCAGAAATAACAGCAAGGCCCTGGAGAGGGAAGAGATGGAGAAATGTAACTGCAGTTGCAGAACCTTTTCTCTTCACTTAGCTGACCTGATGAGCATGAGCACTGCCATAGCGTTCACCTAACAGAACTACTAACGCAGACTTAACCACCAGCAACACCGAAAACAAACAATGCAACTTAATATGAAAAATATGTATTTGGACAAAAAATATAATACACAACCAGAAACCACTATTCTACCAATGACATTATTATCTCATTGAAGAACAAAAATTAAGTTAGTAAGGAATGCTAAGAAGAAACAACTCTTTAAAGTCCTATTCAATTGACTTAGTTAGATAAAATGACATTTATTTGGCTCCGGTCACAATTCCATCATGTCTACTTTCTTTGTGAGTTCAGCTTCAATGGTATCCTAAAGGAAGAAAGAAACACTGTAAATACTATAAATAAGGTGCTTTACTGATATATAGTAAATAAAACAGGTGATCTAACTTCTAATGCTACTTAAAGTAAATGAAATAAGAGAAAACATGAAAACAGAATTTTTTTTAAATACCACCATGAATATCAAATGTTTTTAGACATTCCCTGATTCTACATTTCCCTCCTCTCAACACACCTCTCCCCAAAAAGTTTTCAGACTTCTGATTCTAATAAACATGTAAAGGGAAAAAACCCTCTAGAAGGATTAATCAGTGTAATGATACAGGAATATTTTTTTCTGACTTTTACTCTGCATGCTACCTACTTCCACAATGCCGCCTACATCACTTCTTTTCCATCCTGATTGCCACTGATCTCGTTCCTTCTCATCTGGCCTACACAGGCCAACTGGTTTCTACAGTTTTCTCCTTCCTCTGACCTAACCTAAATACTGATTCCAGAATAATCTTCCTAGAGAACAAGCTCAATCAAAAAGCACAGCTTTGATCATCTCTCTCTTTAGCTTAAAAAACAAGAAAATATACAGCAACTTTCAGTGGTCCTGTAGAGTCTCTTTAGACTTAAGGCTTTTTATACCATAAACAAATTAGCTCTGTCTTCCATTGCTTACTCCTAAGACCTCATTCCTTGCCACAGCTTGGAAAAGACCTATGCCTCTGCTACTTCCTTTCATCTAGAATAGTCTGTCACTCAATCCTCTTTTCCACCCAGGAAAATCTAAGCAAAAATTTAAAAGATACAAAAGACCACTATGGGCATAGCAGACCTCTCCTATTAATCCTCTTAGCAATGTATTTCAATAAATCTGCCTATTCTGTTATCCACTCTGTTTCTGATGAATTCTTTCACCCCCACACCTCTGGCCTACACCCGATTTTCCCCATGACACTTATAATACTAGCAAAATAAAAACTGAAAAAACAAACCAAAAAAAACCCAAAAAAACAAAAACCAAAAGATCACTATGTATTTTTTTATGGAAAAAAAAAAATACATATACACATGTGCCCCCAAGCTAGTAAAAGGTGCATGGAAATCATACATAGCAACTTTGGGACAGTGGCTTACTTCTGAGGATGGAAAGAAGGACAAAGGAAATTTTTAACTGTATCAGTATTTATTTCCTTTTTTTAAAATCTGAAGAAAAAAATGAAACTTACTAATTCTCGCTTTGCTTCTTCAATTTTCACTTGAGCAAGAGAAGGATTCTTAAAAAAAAAATAAAACAAGGAAAGGTTATATGCCTCAATTAGGGCTCAAGGGGGAATATGCAACAATCCTTTTCAAAAGGCAAAAAACTTCACAGTATATCCAATATATATACAATACTAAAATTCAGCATAAATTTTAAATCCTTAAATAGAAACTCACCATTTTCATGATTATTTAGTGTCATTGGGGAAGGGTAGAGGAGATAGCTTTTTAAAAAAGTCATAAAAATAATTACCGGCATTAAATCTAAATAGGACTCTAATTTTTTCTTCAAAGGTATGGTCTGTCTTTTTAATTCTGCCAGTTTCTGGGGGTGAAAAAAGCACAGGGTCACACAGCAATAGAGATATTCACAACTCAATGTTGCTTATTTCTGAAATAAACTATGATAAAATATTAACATTAGGATTTTAAATAATGTATCAGAGATACATTAGACATACTACATAGTACATAGATAAACAGACTCACTTCCAATGGAAACAATGCTTATAAAATGTTTATAATAAGAAACCACACACCCACCCATTAAGAATTAGATTTAGGGGCCTCCCTGGTGGCAGAGGGGTTAAAGACACAGCGCTATCAAGCTATCTGCAGCCACTGCAGTATGAGTTTGAGTTCGATCCCTGGATAGGGAGCTGACCCACATGGTGCAGCAGACCTCTCCTGTCTCACTCGCTGCTCCCCCCAGGCAGTGCATTTCAGTAGAATACCTGTTCTGCTCCCTGCTTTGTTTCTGGCGAATCCTCTCACCCCCCACCCCGCACCTCTGGCTTACACCCTAGCTCTTGTATGCGTAAATAAATACATCTTAAAAAAAAAAAAGAAACCACACAAATGTGAGCATGTATACAGCTAAGCAAGTAATAAAGATACAAACACTGATGAACATAAGTTACAGAGGGAAAGGAAGAGAAATTAGGTCAATAGTGAATAAAGCTCTATAAAAAGAAACAAATGAAAAAACAAATAGTGGACAAATTTTAAAGGAAGTTAAATTGGGTTAAAAGAAGTTAAATTGGGTTAAAATAAGCTTACCTCGGAAAGTGCTACCAGTGACTGATGAGACAGAGAAGCATCCATGCCTCTGGCTGAAAGCTGTTCCTACAGTTACAAAAAAGGAGGTTCAGTTAAGAAAAATCATTTGAAAGCGATCATTATAGCAAAGTGAGCTGCAACTCATATGAAAAACTGTAGATGAATCTAAGCACCTTTATGTTGCATGAAAACAATTTCCACAGTTCAGATTTGTGACAGTGGGTGTGATGTTCAAGAGTTTGAGCTTTTGGATCTGGCTGGCCTTTGAATTTGATGTGTTAAGTTGCTATGTTGCTGTGGATAAGTTACCTGTATTCTCTGTCATTCCCTTATCTATCAAAAGGGAGTAATAATACTGCCTAGTTACAAGGATGAAGGCTATAAAGAAGTCTGGAGAGAGAAGACTATATGTATTCCTTCACACAAACCTCTGAAGCTCTGATTCCAAATCTGAACTCCTCTGATTTTGTTTTTAGAAAGTCCATGTTCTGAAGACGATTGTCAACTTTAGCCCGTTCCGTAGACAGATGCATCTCTGCCTTCTTGAGATCCCTCAAAAAATAAAGGAAACAAACTACACAGATGCCTTTAAAGAAAAAAAACATTTGCTTCTCCTCAGTGAAATTATTGTTGAGTTTGGACTCAACTCTGAATTAGTCAAAAGTAGGTAACCTGGGCCTCCCTGGTGGTGCAAGGGGTTAAGCACCGCACTATGAAGCTCTCTGAAGTCTCTGCAGCATGAGTTCGATCCCTGGCAGGCCAGGGAGCAACACACATGGCACAGCAGACCTCTCCTGTCTCGCTGACTGCTCCCCTCAGCAGTGTATTTCAGTTGATCTGCCTATTTTGTTCCCCGCTCTGTCTCTGGTGAATCCTCTCATCACCCCGCATCTCTGGCCTGTACCCCAGCTCTTGTATGCATAAATAAAAAAACTTAAAAAAAAAATAAAAGCAGGCAACCAACTTGCTGGATTGCCACTCCACTTTTTACATCCCTGAGTAGCTACCACACATTTCTAAGAGTTGATTTTTTCCAAGTTGCCATCTGGTATTTTTCTCAATAAATAATTTTAAGATTAACGTATGCCAGTTGCTCTTAGAAAAAGTAAACCTGCTGCTCAAAAGAGTGATTTCACATATCTTAAAGTCAAATTTGAGTTACAGAGGTACTAAAGCTTCTCTCCTAAATGTGACACGACACAGTACCTTGCATACACCTATCAATAATTGTTGAAAATTTACACACCACCAAATTACTTGTGCCTATACATACTCCTATCCATATACTCTAATCTCAGGGTCAACAGGGATCTAAAGAAGGTCCAGATTGTCAAGAGGGATAGCAGAGCTCTAGTCAGAAATGGCAACAAAGTATAAAGTGATTTTAAATTGTACAGGAGTTGATAACTTCAATATCACATAATTTCAAAAATTATAAAACCCAGTTACTTGCAAGAGATGGAAAAAAAATTCTATGAAGTAAAAGCTGAAAGTCTGTATCCAACCATCGCCAGCTTCACCCAAGTCATTTTCTTCTTCTTTTTTCCCTAATATGTAATGCCTTTTATTTATTTATGCATACAAGAATTGGGATTTAGGCCAGAGGTGCAGTGGGTGACAGGACTTACCAGAGACAGAGAGGTAGCACAATAAGCAGATTTACTGAAATACACTGCTGAGGGGAGCAGTGGGTGAGACAGGAGAGGTCTGCTGCACCATGTGGGTCAGCTCCCTGGTTGGGGATTGAACTCAGGCTATCACAGTGATAGCGCTGCTGAGACTTAACCTCCTATGCCATCAGGAAGGCCCAAGTCATTTTCTACTTAAAAAATATTTTATGAGGGCCTCCGTGATAGAGCAAGGGGTTAAGACGCAACCTATGAAGCTATCCGCAGCCACTGCAGCATGAGTTTGAACCCTGGCCAGGGAGCTACCCACATGGTGCAGCAGACCTCTCCTGACTCACCTGCTGCTCCCCTCAGCAGTGTATTTCAGTTAATCTTCCTGTTCTGCCCCCCACTGTCCTTGGCGAATCCTCTCGCCCCCCCCCCACACTTCTGGTCTGCACCCCAGTTCTTGTGTGCATAAATAAATTAATCTTTTAAAAAAAATTTATGGACTCCATTTTTTTTTTATTTATTCATGCATACAAGAACTGGGGTACAGGCCAGAGGTGTGGGGGATGGGGGGGGAGGAGAGGATTCACTGGAGACAGAGTGGGGAACAGAACAGAGAGATTGACTGAAATACACTGCTGAGGGGAGTAGCGGGCAAGTCGGGAAAGGTCTGCCATGTGGGTTGCTCCCTGACCGGGGATCAAACTCATGCTGCAGTGGCTGCAGATAGCTTCATAGGCTGCATCTTAAGCTCTTGCGCCACCATGGAGGCCCTGAACTCCATTACTTAATATGTTGTTTTAAATCATATCATTGTCAAAGCTGAATCTGATAATGTCCTGTTACCACCGTTAGAAAAAAACTGTCACCATTCCCAACTCAATTACTTACTCCTGGAGACATTTTTCTAACACCAAAGTTGCAGTTAGATTTTTTTCAAGTTTTGTCAATTCAAGCTTGATTTCTTCATTTTTGGATTCGGTACGAAAAAGATCAGAAGTTAAATCATTCACTGCAGGGAGAAAACTAAAAGAAGACTCTGGTTACATAAATGGACATTAAGGACAATAATTACAACTATTCCTCACTTCTAAAACCTATTTTATCTCTATGTGGATTTTTCTATAATCATACTGTTTCTTATCTCTATGATTTTTTATACACAGTTTCCTTTTTCAGCTGCAATACACTTTTTCAGCTGGCAATTTTCCATTTGTCACTCAAAACTCAAATAAGATTTACTCCTATCCTGGAATTCACTCCTCTTTCTCTATGCTCCCTTGCTACAACCTTCACCTTCTTGTACTTTTGTGCATATATATATTATATATATATATTTAAGGCCTGTATGTAGGCAATTATGCGGAATAACTATACAGTTCTCTAGTTACAAATTATAGTGGTAGGTAATTCTCATGCCTGCCTGTGTCTACGCAGGTGTTTCTTTTTCCTTTTTCTCTTTTCCTTAATAAACTTGCCATGTGCTGACAAAAAAAACAAAAACACAAAAATTGTAGTGGTAGTCCCAGCTAAGATATGGCCACTAGTGACAGTCACATGGACTTTAGAGCAGAATAGATTTGAATTTCAACTCTGCCATTTACTACCTCAGAGGTTATTTAATTCTTCCCATCTGAGATTCAGTTTCCTCTTAGAATTGTTGTTGGGAAAATTATGTCATTATACAGATATAATACATGTCACACAAGAATGAAGAGCACTAACCTACTCTACCCAATAGGGTAGGGATAGGACCAAAATTCACTATGCTCTATCAGTGGTTTTGCCCCACAGCCTTTCTGAATTGTTTACAGTGAACAATGTAAGTGATGCCCAACCCCTTTCCAACGATACCTCAGAACCAAATTTCAAAAAACCAGTGCTACAAAAAAAGACCCACTAAAAGTTAAGCAAATATCAAGTTTATGTGAATTATTCATACTCATTAACAGTGATAAAGAGTTCACTAAATTCAGTGATCTGTATTTATTTAAATTTTCTATATGGAGTTAGCTTGAGAACCACAAAGTCCTCAGGTCAAGACTTTATAGCACATGTGTGATTGTAGAAATTAAAACTTTCACAAGAATTACCTTGCTAGGGAGGTATCCTTTGTTTCAAGGGTCACTGCACTGTCAACCAAAGCATTCAGATACCTGGAACCAGTGCTAGAAAGATTGGCAGGGGAAAAATCTACACTTTCCATGAGAAGGTCTTGAAGATGCTTAGCTGAAAAGATATAAGCGTTCATTGGTGACAAAGATGTTTTATTTCAATTTTTAACAGCTTTATTGAAATAGCTCACATATCATACAACCCACCCACCTAAAGTATATAATCCATGGCTTTTAATATATTCACAGTTTTGCTCTTATCAATAGCATCACCTTTAGAACATTTTCATCACCCCAAAAAGAAACTCTGCATTCCTTAGTCATCGTCTTTAGGTTTTTCATTACAGGATATCATAAAAAGGAAGTTTTTACAAAATGAGATTTTTCTAGCCCCACAGCCTCTTTCTTCACACAGTATTTTAATAATGACAAAAAATTATTTAAAAATTAAACAACTTTAAAAGCATATGGCAGAGTATGACCACAAAGGAGCATTACAAGAGATGTTTTTGGGGGTGATGGAGCTGTTCTACATCATTGATTGTCAGAGTGGCTCCAGAATCCATGTATTTTAAAATAGTACACCAAAACAAAAAGTCAATTTTACTGTATGTTAATTTAAAAAAGAAAATGGGGGGGGGGGTTGTAGAAGGCCTGTATGCAACAGAACTGCAATAAAGCTGTACTATATTCAAAACATTGTGTATATAAACATACAATACACCTGGTTAAATATAGGGCAAATGTAAGTCCTCCCTTTAGGGGGCCATATTATCACCCATAAAAAGGTATTTTATCGATCTTTATCTTCTGTGGTTTGTATCACAAGCACAATAGCTGTCTTGATTGTACCTTTCAAACTCCATATGTACAGAAGAAAATTCTCTGTACATATGGCAAGCCATGAACATATAGAAACAGAGTGATTTGTTCAAGTCTCACAGTTCATGGCCTCTACCTCAGGTGTCCAGTGCCTCACTGTGTCTACACATGAGGACTAGAAACAGACCAAGAAAGTTGTAAGTGAAAAATCACAAGACACTTTGAGTGTCAGGCTATTAAGTTTTGACTCATCTTTTAGGGCTCACTGTTTGCTATCAGACTGCTAACAGAATAGTACTATAATGAAATTTGTGATTTATTGTTAGTATGATGACAGAGTGGAAAGCAATGTGGGTAATATAAAGTAGCGAAACTAACAAGTAGTCTATACTATTTAGTGTTATAAAACCTGGTTAGTTCTAGCTATATTTCATTCAAAACTCTGGAATTAATCTCACCTTCTGATTCATATTCACTAGCCTTCTGTTTCAAGTCCTCTATTACCAAGTGGACATCATTGTCCCGTACCCTGTTGCGTTCTGAGAGATGATGTAAAATCTCTGTGGTCCGTGGATTCACCTCATATTGTGGAATGGGATGCTCTCCAAATACTTTTTTCAACCATGCAGCAATCTAACCATAAAAGAAAGACACATATTATTATAAGCTTGTTTATTACAAAGGCACATAGCAAATTCGACAAAGTGATCAGAAGCAAACTAAATGCTTTGTATGACTTTTCTGGTTTCCTACTTCACATCTTCAGTTGTTTTTAGGGAGACAGACAGGGATATCAGAAATACTTAAAAGTGTGCAAGCACAATGACCAGTGGTATGAGTCAAAATGACTAGAAAACAATCCATCAGTTCCCAAAGCTACAAAAGCATGATAGGCTAATAATGTGCATCACTCGAATAACTGTAAAAGCTCAATAAGCAGATGCTAAAGCATCACTACACGTGCAAAGTGTGAAAATGAGTGTCCCAACACTATAAGCCTCCCAGTACCGGGAGACTCAGAGTTGGGCTGTGGAGCGCCGAAGCGGATCAATTCTAATAGGAGCTGCTATTGAAGGGAGAGACTTGGCTGGACATGGGGTGTGGGTTGGTAAGTCACACGCCAGTCGTACCAGGGTCTCCTTAAGCCCTCTTAAAGCCCGAGTCCAAGCAAGGGCAGGCCTGGGAAGGAAGGGAATCGCGCTCTCCTGATGGGTAAGCAGAGGGGGTTTGGATCAGGAAGGCGGCACTGAAGATGGATGAGCAGAGGAGGGTGACAGAGAAAGTAGATGCAGCGCGCCCAGGAGATCCACCAGCACCGGGAGTGTGTCAAAGACGGCTTTTCCTGGGGGCCACAAGCCCCTCTCCCGCAACTTCACCTGCTTCTGTCTCTCTTCCTCCGCCTCCATCGCCACTGCTCCCGCCAACTTGTCAAGACGCACCCAGCTCGCTCTGAAAGTCCCGCCCACCGCCGTTGGCCTTCGACCCCCCCCGCCCCAGAGCAGGGATTTCTGGGAATGGTAGTTTTTGCAAGGACTCCATCCGGGTCTCTGAGACCTTGGCTTCTGTGGGTCTTAGGCGCCAGCAGTTTTGTCGCTTTCCATTCTCTCCTGCGCTCTCTCTACTCCAGATAGCCAGGAAGAAGTAAAGTCACTTGTATTTTTATTTCTCACTTGATTCACTATCTTAAAAAAAAAAAATACCTGAAACTTGTGTTTTGGATAGCAGGTGTTTGTATTTCTTCCACACGGAATACATTAACTTAGAATTTTTATTTTATCCTGATAATATGAGCTGCAACAATCTTAATCATATCCCTCAGTTTCCACTACCAAAGTGCTAAATGTGCTGGAGAAGGTTTTAAAATGCCTAGGTTGGGCCGACCGCATCCAACTGCAGGCACTGTCACTGCCACTCAGCAACCCTTCCATTCATTTCTTCTTGCCTTCCCTAAACTTCTCTCCTCCATCACTGTAGTTAATACTGTGAGAGGTTCTTTATGTGTATTTTTCTCTATTTTTGCTCCATTCTTATGGGAGCCCTATAAAATAGATGGGTACATATTATAAATTTACCTGATTTTATATTAAAGACATACACACGGGGGTGAGAGATTCACCAGAGACAGAGTGGGGAGCAGAACAGGCGGATCTACTGAAATACACTGCTGAGGACAGGAGAGGTCTGCTGTGCCATGTGGGTCAGCATCCTGGCTTGATTGAACTTGTGCTGCAGTGGCTGCAGATAGCTTCAGAGTGCTGAGACTAAACCCCTTGCTTCTTAGACTTAACCCCTTGCGCCACCAGGGAGGCCCTGTGGATGTCTTTTAGCACTGCTTTCTTGGATTTCAAAGCTTTTTCCTTAGCTTTGACTTTGGGAGGGGCAGGGACTTCCTTTACTTTTGGCACTACTTTGTGAAAAGCTAGTTGCTTATTTTTGTTTCAGTTAAATTTTTCTCTGCTAAGTAGCCCAATTTCAGACAACTTGGTATAGCCCCTGAGAAATGGGGAAGCATTGTCTTTATGCCCTTTGTTCACTTTTATCAACACAAATGGCTCAAATATCTCTGCAACTTTGTTCTTACAAACCAAATTTTTTTCTTCATTAGCCCGTTCCTAACTATGAGCCCCAGGATTGTCACATTTCCCATGGGTCACATGAGAAGAGGAAATAGATTAGTGAAAAGGGCTGCTGACCATGTATTTGCAAGTCATGTTTCCCAGGTATTCATATGCCCCACACAAACTAAGGTTTTGGTTGTAAGCCAAGATTTGGTAGATGAAGCTAAAGATGGTTCTCAGAACAGTAAAAGTGAAGGCAATATTAAAATTCTCCACGATAACAAAATACCTTCTCCCCAGTTCTGTTTCTATTACAAAAAAATAAGTAGAAATGAAAAAGTCCCACCCTAAATTTACTCAGTAAGTATAGAAAGTGTAGAGTTCCTGCTGTCATGAAGCAAGTACTGGTAGAGGAAAACTTGAACCTTAGCCCGGCCACAGACTAGATTAATTCCTCTCAGGAGGATTGACACTCACACTTTGCTTGAACTCCTGGGGTCTGTTACAATTTTTTAAACAACATGCTCTAATTCACAGACTCTAAAAGATTTGCGATTCTCCACCTTGGTTGCGTACAGTCACCTAGAATGATGTGGAGGCTTGTCAACAATCTAGATTGCCCCAAATTTCAACTCAGGGAATCTGGGTAGAGCCAGCAATCTGAGGATTAACCGGTTCAATAGGAAAATCCCTGTTTATTACTGCTACTGCATTAAAGCTTAGCAGTTTTAACAGTTGTAGCCTTGGACCAGGTGACCTCACACCTGCTCATTGCCAAGCCAGGCTGGTGCCCAAACCCGGTGACGTGAACCATCTCTCGTGCCGCGAGGGAACTTGGGAAATGCTTATCAAATTCCGTTACCCACGTGGTCGCCAGGGGCAACCACAAGGTCGACGGAAAAGATCAAAATAAATGCGTACCGAACGTCTGTGCCGGATCTGGCGAAGGTCTAAGCACTTATTTTGTGATTTAATTCTAAAAATGATATTTTAAAAAGGTCCTCCCCATGACAGCTGCAGCCAATTTCGCGTCCGGACGTAAAAGACAGGGGCGGGACTTCCGGGTCAGGTGGGCCGGCTGCCTTGACCTTCCTCGCCGCGCGGCCATTTTGTCCCAGTCAGTCCGGAGGCTGCGGCTGCAAGGGAACCTCCCGAAGCGAAGCTGCAAAGATGCTGTCTGTGCGCGTCGCCGCGGCCGTGGCCCGCTCCCTCCCTCGCCGGGCCGGGCTGGTGAGCGCGAGGGGCCGGCGGGAGGGAGGTGGCCCAGGGCGGCGCCCGCGGGTGCCTGTTGGAGCGCTGGCTCGGGAGCTCTTCATGCAAGGAGGGTGAGGGGCTGTGGCGGCGTCGCCATCTTGCTCCGCTGACGGCTCGCGCTCTGGGCAGGGCTGGCGGCGGAAAGGGTCTTTCTGCTCATCCCCCGTGCGGGATGGTGCAGCAGGAGGCCCGGCAAGCAGCGACCCCGATGCTGCCCGGAGATGGGCCTCAGGAGGATTTGCCTCTCTGACCGAGAGCGGTGGGAGAGGGGCCTTGGGCGAAAGTCAGGGCTTGGGCGCTGGTTCTTCGAGGCCTGCTCGGAAACGGCGAGCCTCGGCGCCGCGGTTTCTCAGGGACTCCCTCGCTGAAGGTCAAAGGACTGTTGTCAGCCCTTGTAGCAGAGGGTGAAGGAGCTGACATTGCGCGAAGGTCAGCAGGCCCCGGCGTTTCACCTCTGTCCGGAGGTCGGTTCAGAGGAAAGCGGTTAACGAAGGTGGTTTTCTGAATACCAGAGGCCACCACTTTGTGCTGAATTACCCAAACGATTGTGAAAATAGCATGCTGGTGCAGATACGCTTTTCATGTAGCTGACACCATGACAGCTTGAAACGAGTTTCTCAGTTATCTCAGTCTCGTCAGGAGGAAGACTTTGCTTTTGATACTTGGACGTGATTTAAGATTTCGTCCTTGAGGAATAGTGTGACAGTGATTGAGAACTCAAGTGCAGTAGAAAGATTGAGAAATGCTTACCGAGGCCACTGCCCTTCTTGACTTAATCTCCCTTGAAGTTAACATTACCGTTAAGTTTTAGCTTCACTTATTTTATCACCCTAAAAATACATCCTAATTTGGCAGGTGAACTTACAGGTTATTTTAGTGCCCTAACAAGCCTCCGTAGCGTCTTGGCTTTTTGTTAGCAAAAATGACCTTCATCCAGGTCGTACAGAAGGTGGTAGCCTTAGAATTGATGGTGACAGATCACTGCATTCCAACTTGGAGGAGGGGGTCCAGATTGCTGCAGGCTTTGTGGAAGACAGTTTAAAAAAAAAATGTTAAAACTCTGTTGAACCTCTTATTTTGTAATCAAACTCTATGGCTGATTAAATAAACTAAGCCTGCATTTGTTTTTAAGCTGGCCAGTTTTATAAAAACTTTTAAGTCAGATTTTAAAAGATGTTTTTGCAATAGGTCTCCAAAAATGCTTTGGGAGCATCCTTCATTGCTGCAAGAAACCTCCATGGCTCTAACGCTCGTCTTCAGAAGACTGGTAAATTGCTATTTCTATCCACACCACACTTATTCCCTTGTGGGTAAATGAAAACGTGGGTTTTGTAAATGCTGTGGGTATTTTTCACTTGTTGATTTCTTTCTGTTTTAGGTACAGCAGAATTTCTAATTCATAATGTGCCAATTTAGCTATTTAGAGAATAGGGAGGTGGGCATAGGGAGGTATTGTTGGTTGGGGGATTTTCTTTTGAGAAGGGTGTTAGGGCTTTGGAAATAAGTTGTTAAAATTATATGAATGTAGTGCATATGCTGAGATGAAAAATGATACCTGCATGTCCTTCCTAGGGAAAGTACTTTTTTTTTTTAAGATTTAAGATTTTTGTTTTTAAGATTTATTTATCTATGGATACAAGAACTGGGGTATAGGCCAGAGGTGGGGGTGCGGGGAGAGAGGATTCACCAGAGACAGACTGAGGAGCAGAATAGGCAGATCTACTGAAATACATTGCTGAGGGGAGCAGCAGGCAAGACAGGAGAGGTCTGCTGTGTGCCTTATGGGTTGATAGAGCTGAGACTTAACCCCTTTGCCACCAAGGGAGGCCGAGGATGGGGAGGTACCTTTATTTGTAAGTGTTTTTTGTAGTAGAGACTGTACTTTAAAAATATTTTTGTAGGGCCTTCCCAGTGGCGCAGCGGTTGAGCGCTGGCTTGCGAAGCTGCCCGCAGCCTCTGTAGCGCCGGTTCAATCCCTGGCTGCTCCCCGGCCACTGGAGGAGGGTCCCACATGGCTGCAGACCTCTCCTGCCGCCGGCTGCTCCCCTCCCCTTCTGCCTGCTCTGCTCCCTGCTCTGGCTCTGGTGGATTCTCTCACCTTCCCGTGCTTCTGACTGTACCCAGTGCTTGTATCAATCAATCAATCTTGTATAAATAAATTTTAAAAAAATATATTTTTGTAAGATTTTACCAAAAAATTAGGTTTTAACCTAGGTACAGATTTTTAAGAAATTGAATTAAAGGGGTAGAAGTTGGAAAATATAAGGGTGTTGCTAAATTTATTGACTTCTTAGCTGGTTTGATTTGTCTGTGATGTTTCCTTAATCACTTGCGTTCATTTTCAAAGTGGTAGCTCTCTTTAAAATAGAATCATAAATATTACATGATTTTGATTACTGTGATTGCAAAGTTACAGTTTTTACATGTTGGGAATATGGGTTTTTAAAAGATCTCAGGACCAGATTTTTTTAATGGAATTGTCCTTTCAATAGGCACTGCTGAGATGTCCTCTATTCTCGAAGAGCGGATTCTTGGAGCTGATACCTCTGTTGACCTTGAAGAGACAGGACGTGTCTTAAGCATCGGTGATGGTATTGCCCGAGTACATGGACTGAGAAATGTTCAAGCAGAAGAAATGGTAGAATT